ACCCAGTTTAAGACATCTTCATGTCTGGGGTTGTCCAGCAGAAGTAAGAGTGTATAATCCATATGAAAAGAAGCTTGATGCTAGAACCATAAGTGGTTATTTCATCAGCTATCCTGAAAAATCAAAGGGGTACAGATTCTTCTGTCCTAACCATAGTATGAGAATAGTTGAGTCTGAAAATGTAAGGTTCATTGAAAATGGTCAGTTTAGTGAGAGTGGTGAAACACGAAAGGTGGAAATTAAAGAGACATGTACGGAAACTCCTGTAGTTGGTGTCTCTTCTCCAGTTGTTGTTCCTCTTGTTGTATCACAGACACACAACATAAGGAGGCAACAAGTTAATGTTACAAATCTATAAGAACAACATATAGAGGATGAACCAGCTGAAAATGCGCAAGTCACAAGTGAATAAGAGGAAGGTGAACCACAAGAGATAGCATTAAGGAGGTCTGTAAGGCAGAAAAGACCTGCTATTTCGAATGACTATGTGATTTACTCACTTGAGCATAAATGTGACTTGAGTATTGATAAGGATCCAGTCTCATTTAAGCAAGCCATGGAATGTTACAATTCTGAAAAGTGGTTGAATGCCATGAAAGAAGAGTTAAAATCAATGAGTGACAACAAAGTATGGGATCAAGTTGAGTTGCTTGAAGGTTCAAAACGAGTCAGTTACAAATGGGTCTTTAAGACCAAACGTGACTCAAAAGGCAACATTGAGAGATATAAGGCTAGAGTTGTTGCTAAAGGATACACTCAAAAGGATGGCCTAGACTATAAAAAGACATTTTCTCCAGTTTTAAAGAAGGACTCTTTAAGAATTGTTATGACTTTGGTGGCTTATTATGACTTAGAGCTCCACCAAATGGATGTAAAGACCGTCTTTCTGAATGGTGACTTGGAAAATGAAGTTTACATGGATCAGTCAGATGGCATCTTGACCGCAGGTAAAGAAAGTATGGTGTGTAAGTTAAAGAAATCAATATATGGGTTGAAACAGGCTTCCAGACAATGGTATCTTAAGTTCAATGATACCATCACGTCATATGGTTTTGTAGAGAACACTGTTGACAAGTGTATCTATATGAAAGTCAATGGAAGCAAGTTCATCATTTTAGTCCTGTATGTTGATGACATTCTTCTTGCTACTAATGATGTTGAGTTGTTGCATGATGTAAAGAAATTTCTCTCTAAGAACTTTGAGATAAAAGATACGGGTGAGGCTTCCTATATGATTGGAATAGAAATATTCCATAATAGATCACAAGGATTACTGGAATTGTCTCAAAAAGGATACATCAACAAAGTATTAGAGAGATTCAAAATGAAAAAGTGCTTATCAGGGGTAGTTCCAATTCAAAAGGGAGACAAGTTTAGTGAAATGCAATGTCCCAAGAATGAGTTAGAGCCGAAAGCAATGAATCTATTCCCTATGCATCAGTGGTCGGGAGTTTAATGTATGCTCAGACATGCACTCGACCTGATATCAGTTTTGCTGTTGGAATGTTAGGCTGATATCAAGTAATCCCGGAATGGACCACTGGAAGGCTGCAAAGAAAGTCCTTAGGTATTTACAAGGCACCAAGGACATGCTTACTTATAGGAGATCTATTCACCTGGAAGTGGTAGGCTACTCGGATTCATACTATGCTGGATGTGTAGACTCAAGGAAATCGACCTTTGGCTACATCTTCTTGTTGGCTAGAAGTGCGATTTCATGGAAGAGTGGAAAGGAGTCCATTATTGCTACGTCTACCATAGAAGCAGAATTTGTGGCGTGCTTTGAGGCTACTATTCATGCTTTGTGGCTGCGGAACTTTGTCTTAGGGCTTGGTATTGTTGATAATATAGAAAAGTCGCTAAGAATGTACTGTGATAATTCTGCAACCATCTTCTTCTCTAAGAATGATAAGTATTCAAAGGGAGGAAAACATATGGACTTAAAATACTTATCAGTAAAAGAAGAAGTGCGAAAACAGAAAGTGTCTATTGAGCATATTGGTACTGATTTAATGATAGCGGATCCGCTAACTAAGGGATTGCCCCTTAAAACGTTTTTTGACCATGTTGGTAGAATGAGCATTATAGACAAGTCCTTGTTAGCATGATTGTGTGATTCACATATATGTGTATAAATTGTTTTGCTCATATTATTGTAGACATTTTGGAAATTCAATAAAAATATTGTTTCTGCTTGTTTACTTGTTATTTGAATTGTATTAATGTACATGTATGATTTGAGTTTGATAACAGGTTGAGTGTTAAAAACACATCAGAGTTACAGTTTTAGTATGACTGATTAAAGCTGTTTTGATTTGAGTTGATTCTGTGATACTTAGAAGGAATCATGTTGTCAAATGACTTGTGACCGCCATGATCCGATCAACTTAAATTATTAAAAGAGGATGACTTGATATTATCAATGATATGCGCACTTACAAGTCATTGAATCTTCAAGTCGTCACATAGGCCAAGTGAGAGATTGTTAGATTATTTTAATAATTTTATTATAGTGACCTATGTAACTTATATGACTCTAATTAATGATTTAATATGATGGTGGTTAAATATAAAATATAGAGTCATTGAGGGTATAATTATAGGGTATAATTATAAATACAATTATAAGAAAATCCTCTCTTCTCCCTTTATATAAATTAAAGAGCGGTTACCAAATAGAGGTTACGACATTTTCTATTTTTTCACTTTCACAATCTCTGAGTGAGGTCACGGTAAACGCAAGAAAGGAACTTTCTTTCAACCATCCGAGAGGAGCTGAAAGAAGAAGGAAGAGTTGGAGAAAATACCAAAAGATCAACGACACCAAAGAGAGGTAACATCAAGGAATAATAGATTCAAAAGTTAGTGCTCTCTAAACCCTTAATTATATGAGAACCATATATTGTGTTGTGAGAGTAATGTAATTTAAGATCATAAAGAGAAAAGGTAATTTCATAATAGTCATTGCATAATGAAAATTACATAATAGATTAAAAAAAATTCTAATAATGAACCCTTAATATAATAAATTAGGCTCAATAAAATTGAAATTTAAAAATTTTTGTGAACAATTACAATGGTTCAACTTGCACGGGCAAATATCACCCAACTTAAAAAAAAGCTTTCTAAAGAAACAAAAACTATTTCAAAACTTAACATGTAATTCACAATTAGGGATGGAAAAAGGCTAGGCCGCCTGATAGGGGGGCCTGGCCTGGTTTAGGCCTGGCCTGACCTGTCTTTTTTAATAAACAAATTAGGCTCAAGCCTTTTTTAAGGCCTGTTTAAGTAAACAAGTCAGGCCTGAGCTGTTTATAAAGCCTGTTAAGCCTGACAGGCCGACCTGTATAAATATATATATATATATATATATATATATATTATAATTTAAAAATAGAGCTATCAAAATATATTTAAATAATAAAGTTATTTAATAATATATTTTTATATTCTTAATTCTGTTATTATTAAATTAATATATTATGTGATAGTTTTATTTATTTATAATTATAATAAACAGAAATTATATTATATTAAAAATTAAAAATATTTATACATGATTACACTTTTTAAATAATAAATTTATTTAATAATAAATTTATTTAATAATAAATTATTATATTTAAACAATTTAAAAAATAGTTAAGTCTTTGAACAAGAATAAGACGTAATCAAAACTAAACGAAATAAAATTTAAAAAGAAAATAATAAAATTATATTAACATATTTTTTATACTCTTAATTTTATTATTATTAAATTAATTATTATATTAATATATTATGTTAAAATTCTTTTTATTTATAATAAATAGAGATTGCTTACATCTGAATTATATTTTATTTGAAAGTAAAATTTATAAAAAAATGATAACAAAATAAAATAAAAAACTTATTATAATATATATATATATATATATATATATATATATATAATCATACCATGTAGCAAATAATATAATTATAAATAAATTATATAATAATATATATTTTTATAACTTGCACATGTTTTAATTAAATTATTAGTCAATTTATCAATTTATATGTAATTTATAAGTATGTGTTTTAATTTATTGTATCAGTAATATTTTCTATATTACATTAATATTATAGTGTAGTTAATTTTATATTTATTTGTTAATTTAAAATAACAAATTAATGAGACAAATAAAATTAAATATTTTGTAATTATTTTTTAATTTAATAGTTATTATTGTTTTCATTATATATATATATATATATAGTACATTAAGTTTAAATTTTTATATTAAGTTTTATCACATATTTTTTAATTAAGATAAAAATTTAGAAATATAAGTTATTTTAATTTAAATATAAATTTTAATAATTCTTCCTATGCTCATATATTATTTTTCTATATCTATAAATTTTATAATATAAGTATTTATCATCTACAATTTTTATAATGACGATATTTATTTACTTTTTAAAATATAATATTTTTTTTAGTTGATTCAATAAATTTTATAAGTGTTATTTTTTGTAATTATTTTTTTAATTTAATAGTTGTTATTATTGTCATTATATATATATATACATATATTGCAGTAAGTTTAAATTTATTTTTTTTAAAACATATAATTTTCTTTTAATTGATTCAACAAATTGTGTGAATGTTTTTTTTTTTTATCAATTTTATGTATTTACTATAACTTTATTTATTAAATATAAGATGTCTTCAAATAAACAAAATATGTTTTTAAAATAAAACTAAAATATTTACTATTTATATAATTTTAAAAATAAATAAAAAAATATAAATATAAATTTTATTAATATAAAATATTTATAATTAATACTTAAATAATATTTTAAAAATTATTTATAAAATTATATAAATATTATTATAATTATTTAATAATTATTAAAAATATAGATAGAAATTAAAAAAAATATATAAACTAATTTAATAATAAAATATTTATATTTTTATTAATATTAATTTAATAGACATTGTTAACAGACTTCAAGCTCTAAAATAAAGCCTTTAACAGATAACAGGTCAGGCTCAGACCTAATAATTATGTTATAGGTCAGGCCTATTTAGAGTAAAGCTTAAAGTATAACAAACTTTGATTAATAAAACCTATATGCCATATATTGAAAACGCAGAAAAATTATATTGACAAAGTTTTCGATGGCTCTAAATTGCTCAACTGAGAGCAAAAGAAGAAAATAAGGGCACTTAGGGATGCACACAATCCCTAAACGTGTGTGCATAAAAATGTTTCAGGAGAAAAATTGTATAAGGTAATAACTCATCTAGGCTCAATCAGACTTTCAGTGATGGTGTCCCTTGAAGATTGGGTGTTCGATCCAGTCTGAAAATTATATCCAGGTAAACCAGATTTGCTGAGATCTGAACTACCAGAGTTAATAAATGGTGGCTGTGTTGGCTGAGGAATTTCATGATTGTTATTAACCATTTGAACGACTACTGACATTGATGGCCTCAATTCTGCAGATGCTTGTGCACAAAGCAACCCTATCTGAAGCACTTGGCATGCTTCCTCTGCAGGACAATCACCCTCTAGGGTTGGATCAACAATTTCAGATAGCCTATTTGATCCATAAAGATTCCAAACCTTGCAGAAAAATAACAGAGAAATGATCATCAGCCAGGTAAAGTTCTAAGAACTGTGAGAATGCTTGTCTTGTTAAATAGCACCTCCAAATGAATTAGTTCGTAGTAGTAACATGCCAGATAAAAACAGTTACCGTTTGCAGGAGAGATGATGAATTCATAACAAAAGAACTGTTTCTTTTGCCGGATACAATTTCAACAACTAGAACTCCAAAACTGTAAACATCTGCTTTCTCACTCAACTTCCCACCAACTACATACTCTGGAGCCATATAACCCCTACATATGAACATAAAATGAACTGTAAGAGAATCGTGCAGGAATAAAATATGAACTGTGCTTTAATTTTATATAATCAAGAAATGAAAAGAAGGGTTAATTTTAATTTAATTTTTTTTTTTAACACAATATCGAAGTGCCTGTCAATCATATATGAATATTTGGACTGTAGTACACGATTGCTTAGACACACTGCATAGTAGTGATGGAAAGAAGATTAAGAGTTTTTATGGAAAGAAACAACCTTGTCATGTAGACAAAGGAATTATCATAATACAACGCAGAATAGATCACAAACTTCATTGAAGAATATAACTAACCTAGGCGTTGTCACCAAACATAGTGAGTATTTGGTCTTTCACAAAGCTAGTAAGTAATAAAACAGTAATTAAAAGAAAGCAGCCAGTATTTTGATTAACGAAAATTCACCTTCCAGTTATTTAAGGCCTATGCAAGATATACATTGATGTGAAAAGTGTCATTCGCTTACAGTGTGCCGGCAATAGCCGTGCTAATGTGAGACTTGTCTTCTGGAAATAATCTAGCAAGTCCAAAATCAGCAATCTTGGGTGTGAAGTCCTCCTCAAGCAGAATGTTGCTTAACTTTATGTCTCTATGAATGATTCTCACAGGTGATTCCTCATGAAGATATGCCATTCCCTCTGCAATTCCTAATATGATCTTCTCCCTGATTTCCCAAGTCAGCAGCTGAGAAACCCTTCTAACTGGAGCAGTTCAAAAGAAACATAATAAGTAAAATTTATTTAAAGGGAAAATTGTTTAAGATTGGATATCAGATATAAAGTTACAACCAGAAAGGTGATTATGGAGGCTTTGATTAGGCACGTATTCATAAACAAGAAGGCTTTCGGGTCCTGTAATGCTGCACCCCAAAAGCTTCACAAGATTTTTGTGGTTAATGCCACTTATCAAATTGACCTCATTGAAGAAATGATCTGCCCATTGTGCTGTGTTAAAGCTAAGCCTTTTTATGGCCACGGTTTTTCCATCTGGCATAATTCCCTTTATGGAAATAAAAAAATATAGCAAGGAAAATAAAATGTAAGCAACAATTAGATTGCCCAAATTAAGACATGAGGTCAAAAGACACATACTTTATAAACAGAACCTGATCCCCCTTGTCCTAGTTTATTGTCATCATTGAAGTAATTTGTTGCTTTCTCAAGAATCTCATATGACACATTTAGCTTGGACTTATTCACCGTGTCCAAAAGTGCACCAAACTGTCTTCTTTCTGATGTAACAACAATATTACAATTTTGAACAATCTTCAGCATTTAGAATTTTAATAATCTATCATTCCTAAATCTAAATATCAAATATTGATATACCTCTTCTCCTTCTCATCACATTCTTTTTTATAAAGAAAGCAACTGTCACAACAACCAGCAGAATAGCGAAGGCAGCAGAACAAGCAGCCAGAATTTTAGCCAAACTCCGGTGTCCTAACACACACAGTAATACAGCTTTAAAGTAATGAAACATTTCCTCAGAAAAATGGTCTTTTGTAGTGTTTTATCACAATAATTCCCATTGTCAAATTAATAATAAGAAACTTAAATTCCATATCAAACAAAAACACACACATCAAGGACTAAAGCACCACCTGAAATTGCCACCTAATAGAACAAAATCATTAACACATATATACCTAAAATACTTCATATTTGGTTGCATAGCGAAAATCAGAGTATAACTCACCACGATTTCCAGCAACAGCAACATCGCTTGAATTGTTATAAAACTTCTGTGAGGAATATCTCAAGTAACAACCAGCATTCAGTGCCCTCCCTTCTTCTTTTGTTTTACACGAAACAATCTTAGTTACAGCATCTGCCAAACATTTCTGGCAGTCACTACCCCTCACAAATTCCCAACATTGAGCCAACCCATAAACAGTCACATTCTTTCTACTCACCAACCCCACAAAAAAACCATCGTTTTTGGGCGCCAACTTGCTCATGTTTCTGACTAACTCCAAAGCATTGGCTTCATAAACATCGGTGTTATTACTTCCGTTACACACGGTGGTGTCTTGGTTACTTAAACTCTCGTTGAAGAAGTTGTAATCATCGTACCTGAGATAGCACCCGTCGAAGAAGAGTCTACCGCCACGTGTCCCTTTTTGAAACGGTAAGCAACTGAGAAGCTGTGTCTTGCACTGTGCGAGGCATATGTTGCAGTCCGATTGAGAAAGGTCTCTCATGCACTCGCCGAAGGCATAAACGGTGGCGTTTTGGGAGCCATTAATTACGGCGCCGTGTCTCTGCGTTGTGGTGAGAGGGGTCAACGCGTCCATGGCGGCTAGAAAGTTTGCGATGAAAACTTGGCGTTGAGAAAGTGATGGAACAGTTCTGTTGGTGCATAATTGAGCTGCTTTTTGGGCTCTTGGGTCGGAAAGTGCAGGGGTTGCAAAGAAACAGAGGAAGATAAACACAAATGATGATGATGATGAAGAAGGCATTGATTGTTTGGGTTTTGTTGATGAATAAGCCCAGAAACTTTGGCGTTTGAAGAGCTAGGAAATAGTTGGTGAGCCAAAAACAAGGTCGTCGAGAAAGGAAGAAAAGTGAGGAAGATATATAGTAAAATAACGGTGACAGGGGATATTGCCTGTTTCAGTTTACTTTGGATAAATTACCCGTTGAAAATTTAACTCTAAAATTTGAGCATTTAATAATTATAGAAGTTGAACACTTTTAAATATTAAAAAAATGAAATTGTGTATAAAAAGCGGAAACGACCTTTTTGTAAGAAAAAAAAATATAGGTTTCTTGATTTTTCCTAAGAACTATGGAGGACAATTTTATTTTTTTTAATCATTGCCCTGACTACTTAAGGATAGAAGACAGACAGTTAAGAAATTAGTAGGATTTGTTTTTATGCTTAAAAAATATCATATTAATTTTAAGTTATAATTAGAGTGACAAAATATATAAATTAATATAATAAAAATTTAAAATTGTGTAAGAAAATATGTAACTTTTTTAAATTTATAACTATTTAATAATATGATATAATGAAAATAATATTAGATCACATTCTCCTTGTTTGGGAGGTTATAAAATACTCCTTTTGTATTTAATAATTTATCCAACAAATTGAAGTTAAAATAAACTACTCTTTTCGGCCTTACCGTTATTATTTTAAAGTAATGCATACTTTGAAAATTGTTGATTATAAAATTATTACAATAAACATATTTTTATTCAAAATTCAGTATATAATTGTAAAATTATTTGGATATTTAAACAAATATCAATAAATGAGATATTATTGTAAATTTTTTTTGAAATAACAAATATTTAATAATATATTGAAGCTAAAGAAACCGAGTGAGTGGCAATTACGGTCAACGGGTGGTGCAGACAAGGTGATCAGTTGAGTTGACCCTGAAAAGAAGACAAGGTCGGTTACGGCACGGGAATAGCAAAAAAACATATAACACTGCGGGGGACATAGTGGTGGGACCGTTGACTACGTGTCACGTGATGAATGGGTAGTTTCAGAACTAGAAGAAAGTTTGTTACTGTTAAAAGAATAATGCTATGGTTATTTGACTAATAATAATAATAATAATAATAATAATATATAATTTAATTTAATTATAAAAATAATAAATAATTTCATATATAATTTTTTTATTTTATCATCAATTTAAATTAAATTTTTTCTCTTCTAATTTTTTTTCCATGATGACAAGTCCCCACTTTATGATAGAGTTTTAGATTACTGCATGATAGAGTTTCACATTATTGGAGATTGGGATTGCGATTGGTCAGAAAGAGTTTGAAAGATTGTTTATTGACTAAACCCTCACTTTAGTCCCTGAGAGAGTTTGAGTCTAACATTTTAGTCCCTGAAACATTTAAAATATCACGTTAGTCTCCAACTTTCTTTTCCATCATGAATTTTAGTCCCTGACATCAGACCTCGTTAAGAAACTTTCACAGAAGACTGAACTGTCACGTTAAGTGCTATATCAGAATTCCACTTGATAGCAACAACGTCATTTTTAAAAGCTGACGTGGCACAAATAATTGCAAAATTGTGTTGTTGTCATTGAAACCCCTTTTACTCAAATTGAATCACATATTTCCTCATTGTTGTCGAAGAACCCTACCCTAAGTCCACACAAAATCTCGCTCAAATTCTTGTTCGTAGTTGTGTTTAGGGGTGAAATATTTAAAGATTGAAGTTTGTTGTAGTGGAAGAAGGGCCAACAGATGAAGAATTCGATAAAAAAAAAATTCTTAATTCATTGAGTAATTTTTTTGGTTTGGAGACGAAGAACCCTAATTGTTCAATATTTTGGAGACGACAAACCCTAAGTGTTCAATATTTTTGGGACGACGAACCGTAGTTGTTTTCTTTCTCCTTAATTAGTGTGAATGTGGTTATTGAAAAATGCTTTTTGTTTGTTATCGAGAAAACAAAGGATGGTAGGAAGTGGTCCCTGGTAGACAGTGGTCCCCTTATGTTTCTTACTACTTTTTGGTTTTTAAAATTAAAGAAGATAATGTTAATGAAAGTGGTCCCTTTCTGCATGGTTTAACCTATATTTCCATGTGCGTGCATGACTTTCATTGTTTATTTAGTAAATTAGTTTAAAATTGCAAAATATTGTTGAATTTTTTGATAATTGTTTCTTTGTCAATGCAAACAATTAAGTTTTACATTCAATTTTATGCTTTTTTCGTGTTTTCCATTTTCAAATTGATGAGAATGTGGCTCGCGAGATTATCAACCACAGGTCTCTTTGTCACCCCAATATAATTCGTTTCAAGGAGGCAAGGACTTTATTTGCTTACCTGTTGGATCACTTTGTATTGAATACTCTATATAACTAATTATTTGAGCTCATTTCAATAGGGCTTTGATTTTGCAGGTGGTTTTGACCTCACTCATTTAGCAATAGTAATGAAGTATGTAGTTGGAGAAGAGCTATTTGAGAGGATATACAATGCTGGACAGTTCAATGAAGATGAGGTTGATCTTTGAATTTTCTAGTTTATCTCACTCTTTTAGTTTTAGTGCCATTAATATTGTAGCCATATCTCACTTATTTTCCCCTTTGACTGTTCAAGCTAGATATTTCTTTCAACAACTGATTTCTAGTGTCCATTACTGTCATGCCATGGTATAATCATGCTCAAGTTCTTGAAAAATTATTGGACTTCCTGTACTCAGAACTGTACAAAGTGAGAACCTATGCTTTTAGTCTTCTTTTGCAGCAAATATGCCACAAAGATTTGAGGCTAGAAAATACCCTCTTAGATGTAAGCCCTGCACCCCGCTTGAAAATTTGTGACTTTGGCTATTCCAAGGTATTAGATTGAATAACATCTAGTTTCTATGTTCTAATAATATATTCTTTAGCCTTTATATTTTTGGATGTTTGTTATTTGTGGTTTAGTCATCTTTGCTTCATTCACGACTCAAATCAATTGTTGGAACTCCAGCTTATATAGCACCAGAGGTTCTTTCCAGGAGGGTAAATATCTATGTAGGATGAATTTACTCATTACTTAGAATTGACAGGGACTTAATTGCATGAATAATAAATCAGTTAGGGACTAAATTGCATGATTTTTATTCTATTAAGGACTAAAATGAATTTCGTGTTTTATTGCAGGGTTTGATTCCAGCTTTACAAGAAGTGATGCCAGGTGCACACCATAGGAGAATATCACAAGAAGGATAAGGAGATTAGAAAGTTGAAAGAACATATCCAAGAAATGGATGAACTCATCTCTGTTAAACAGTAAAATAGAGAATATGAGTTAAATCTTTTCTTAGTACTACCTCTGGTATCTTTAAGCTATTTCTCTCCTTTTAACCCATTTCCTTTCTATTCTAGAGAAACATTTACTGCCCCTTCTTACTCTCTCCTTTTAGCATATAGACCCAAACATGTGCCTATACCCAAAAGTTCTAAAGGAAAAGGGAAGATGAGTATCTCTTCTTCTGATACTGCTGCCAAGACAACAAACTTGAGTTTATCTTCTAATGACTCATCTCCACCCCCTAAACGATCATCCAAACCTAGTGATGAAAATATGCCTTTCCAAGGTTCTCTTATCATAAGAAATAATGACTATTCAAGTGAATCAGAAAATTCTTCAGTCTCAAATAATGAGTATTCTTCAACGTCATCTGAAGAAATCTCCTGATATTTCTGAAAAATAAAACCTTTATGAATGATCTAGCCAGCATTAACTCTGATTCATATAGTGATTCTGAGGAATCGCTATAAACACTGGCCCAATATGGCCCAATATCAAGAAACATTCCTAACAATATGACCCAATATATAGAAACATCCTTAGTCTAGAAATATCCTTACTCTAGACTTATCCATTCTCTAGAAACATCTCTAATCTAGAATTATCTTATTTAATATCTACTATAAAATAATCTATGTTCTAGAACCATCCTTGTAATACTATAAATACCCCATTGTACTCCTCATTTTAGCATCAAGTTGAATAAGCAAATTCTCATTCTCCACTAAGAGTTTTAAGCTCTAGTTCTCTCTTGTCCTATTTGAGAGATCTAAGCACTACTTGGTCACTTTCCCTTATTGGTTTATGAGCCATTTGGTATCAAGAGTCAGGTTCCCAGCTTCCTACGCTCTTGGTCGTTTAGAATTGACCTAAATTCTCTTCGCTTCTTTCCTTACTTAAATTAGTTTCGATCACTCTTAAGAAGCATTTTGAGTCATTTCTTAACAAGCCAACATCGTAGACGTGCTCGGGAGAGGTTGAAGACAGTGACATCATCAGTCGCGTGAGCACCACACATTCAACATTGTTGTGCCACATATTATCCCAAACCTTTTCATAATTTTATTCCCACCCATACAACAAAATGCCACCAAGACGCCAAAACCGAAGGAATGCTCAAGAGATCGAGATGGACGAGTTACGCCGACAAATTCAAGAACTATAAGAAATTGTGGAGGAACAACAAGCTCTACTCAATCGTCGAAGGAACTCCAATTCAGAAAATGATTCTGAAGAAAGTGACTCTTCGTCTAACACCAGTCACCCACGAAGAAAGAGCACTCGAGGTTACTTCGACAACATCAAGATAGACATTCCTGAATTTGAGGGGAGACTACAACTAGATGAATTTGTGGATTGGTTACAGACAGTGGAGCGTGTGTTTGAATTAAAAGATATTCCGGAGGAACAAAAAGTCAAGATCATTGCTGTTAAACTGAAGAAGCATGCATCCATTTGGTGGGAAAATATAAAGAAGAAACGTGAGCGGGAAGGCAGAAGCAAGATAAAGACATGGGAGAAAATGAAAAAAGAACTCACGTAAGTTTCTTCCTAACCACTACTATCAAGATAATTTTATTAAGCTCCATAATTTACGTTAGGATTCTAAGATAGTAGAGGAGTGTACTAGAAAATTTGAGTTGTTGATGATGAAATGTGATATACAAGAGAAGGAAGAACAAACAATTGCTAGATTTCTTGGAGGGCTAAATCCTAAAATTTCCCAACTTGTCTAACTACAACAATATTGGACCCTAGATGATGTCAT